TGCATAAAGTTTGAAAGTTGCACGGCGTTTTAACAATAACTATGACTAGTTCCCTTCTCAGTTTCATTTGAATGGCTTTTAGGTGCCTCCGTAGTGAGAAACTATCCAGTTGTTCACTATAAAACAGCAAGAATTTGAGAGAAGACAGAAAAATAATAACCTTGTCACCCCTGAGATTTGAAGAGGAAGTTGCTCGAAGATGTAATTAACTTTTATGTCGCAGACACATTACCTTTGAGTAGCTTTTATGTGGGAAAAAAATGATTAAAAACTGTATTTTATTCTTTGGAATAAAATACGTGTCTTATGGGTCAGACAGTTGGTGTGGAAAAATATGAACATGGTAATCAACAAGCGTCAAGATATGCAAATATGTTAATGCTTTGGTATTCATATCGTATATTCATATTACGTATGTTCTCCTTGGCTCGGATGTCAAGCAAACATTGGACTTCTGCTGAAAACCAAGTAAGTCTTCTCCTATTCATGTCGTTTATCTGCGTCCATCTCAATAAATGCCCATCATCCTGTGTTTTGGTTAACTTCCCTACAATTGGTTCATAGTACTCGATGTTCTCGCTGCAAATGTACCCGGAAAGGGTTCATTGGAAATGGTCAAAGCCAACAATTACTGCAAACAAAGAACACCAGAGTTTGATTAAAACGGACTCCATGTACAGGTAAATGTTCAGAAGGAGCAGAACAACAACAAAGACCAGCATACTGTAAGGCTGTATGTTATATGAGAGCTGGCAGAGAAAGTGATTGTTGATCATTCGAAAGCACGATGATATAGGATCATGTGGAACTGAATTTCTGTTTTATTACAGGGGATGATTTGTAGAGAGTCATCCTGCTTGCATCCATCATTGTTAATTGAAGGGATGACAGAAAACATCACTCCTGACATCCAACCGGGTTCAGACGTGATGTGTGTGTGATATGTCACGAGGAAAAGGAATCCATACCAATATGTAGGTGAAAACCAGGTATGAATCACTCTTTGAGGTGCGTATATGACCAAAAAGATTCTGTACAATAATACACAATATTTTGTATTACTGCTGATTTTTATTCCATATTTTATTCCTTCTATTCCATCCCATTGCAAATGTAAATACTGTTATATTTTACTAATATTTTTCTTGTGTTTTTAATTCTTGTTTTTATGCACCACGACACCAAATCAAATTCCTCGTACGTGTAAACCTACCTGGTAACAAACCTGTTTCTGATTCTGAAAAACAAGGAAGATATGCCTTATGTGCCACACACACACACACACACACACACACACACACACACACACACACACACACACACACACACACACACACACACACACACACACACACACACACACACACACACACACACACACACACACACACATAATTATATGTCATGCAAGATGACACATTCAGTGTCTGTTTAGTTTGCAGGACACACACACGCTTCCATTTACACACGCTGTTAACCATTCACAGTGTTGTGACCTTGTTTACTTTTCCGTGGGTTGGACAGGAAGTGTGATGGCTTTTCACACACACGATCAAACACACACACACACACACACACGCACACACACACACACACACACACACAATCAAACAAACATACACACACACCATCATAGAAGGTAATTGCAAACACTATTGGTTATGATTGAAATAGGAAAATAAACAGCGTGGATGGGTCACGTCCACACAGGCGAGCTGTTGTCACGGTGCCGCCTGTTACTCAGTTTCCAGATAGTCTTCAAATCAAAGGTTAACTATGATGCAAGCGTGTGTTTACTTTTAAACTGGGGGACACATCCTATCATTGATGCAAGAAGGAAAGAGTAACATGTTGTATAACAAAGCTTTCTTATGCAAACACCTGGGAGACTGCTTGGTGTTTCTTAGGCGCTGTTTACACGAGAACGAAACGGGCTGTATCCGCAATTTTTCTCTCGCGTACAGTATAGCCCGTTCGTTCACACGAGGCCGTAACGGAACCGCGGAAACGGACCCCGCAAACGATAACGGGTCCCAAGGTGGATAGATCTGCAAACGGAACGCTCTGGGGGGGCAAACGGCTCAGTGTGTACGTCCTATACGATCATTTTCCTGATGATGATGAAGTCATAGCCCCGCCTCTCCCACCTCTGCTGCTACAGATTTTAGTGGAACATCTACAGCTCCTCTACCACAACCATCAGCAACACGTGGAAATGGAGAACTACATGTTGCTAAATACTACAGCGTCTCCAGCGGGTCGAGCCGTATCCGTGTGAACGGAAGACTTTTTTGATATCGAATTCGGTTCGTTTGCGTTCCCGTGTAAATGGGGTCTTAAAGAGGTCATATTCTGTCTCCATGCTTTAATGTTCAAAAAGCTCTTTATTTTCCTCATACTGCCTGTGCTGCAGCATCTCTTTTCACCCTCTGTCTGAAACCAGAGCCCAGTCTGCTCTGATTGGTTAGCTGGCTGGCTCTGTTGTGATTGGCCTAGAGATGTCCCGTCCCTTAGCATATCACGAACAAAGTGTTGGAGCGCTAGCCAATAGAAGTGCGAAGGTTACATAGTGATGTCAGGGACATATACACAACATTTGCATAGTAGCAGTCAATGGAAATCAATGAAAACACTTGAATACACAATGACGATCACGTTTATTGCCAATTTGGTTTACATAATCATATTGCTTTGGTGTGTAGTGGTTGGTATATACACATAATACTGCACAAATAATATACAAAGCTGTTGCAAAAGATCACTAAGGACCAATCTCTTTCTGTTCCTATCAGGCCTGTAGGTCCTCACAGTGTACAAAAACATATTAAAGTATAAAAACATATGAAAGAAAACGACACACACACATCTCACACGTATTGTTCCTCACAGGTAAACACAGCATATCAGACAGAATCATTTCCTGCAGCTCCGTCTCTCACAGCGAGAGAAACAGCAGGAGGCTAAATGTTTGCCTTTCAACAATCTCTCTGTACATGTGGAAGCGTTGAATCATTACACAGATTAAAAATAATCCTGACGCTATCAAACTCCCATGATAGCATGTGAGAGACAGAAAGGTCAGTCATCGTTCACAGTAATAAAGCAGAACATCACAGGCTGTTATTCATTCAATCTAAAGACATTTTTATTGATGTATTTAAGTTGCATGGTTGACGTTTGAATACTGTCAATATGCTATCTATCCAAATGGCTTAAAGAGGACATATTGTGCTCATCTTCAGGTTCTTATTTGTGTTTTGTGCCTCTTTCGTGACAAGCTGTGCAAACAACCTATAAATGATCACAGGTTAAGCTATCCAGCAGCAGTAATAAAGTAAGTAAAAATAGCGCCACATTTATGCATCAACAATCATAATCCTTCTTCAAAATAAAAGCACCAAGTGTACTGTTTTCAAACAGGAATTGTAGGATTAGGCTTACTTTTCAAAATAAAAGCCCTACAAATCAGTCGTTCCAAACATTAACTCAAGATAAGGCCTATTTTTCAAAATAAAAGCCCCAAAAAGTCAGTATATCAAAACAGTGAATTGAGGATTATGCCTATTTTTCAAAATAAAAGGCCCACAAAGTCAGTCGTTCCAAACATTAACTCAAGATAAGGTCTATTTTTCAAAATAAAAGCCCCACAAAGTCAGTGTATCCAAATATTAACTCAATATTATGCCTGTTTTTCAAAATAAAAGCCCCACAAAGTCAGTGTATCCAAATATTAACTCAATATTATGCCTGTTTTTCAAAATAAAAGCCCCACAAAGTCAGTGTATCCAAATATTAACTCAATATTATGCCTATTTTTCAAAATAAAAGGCCCACAAAGTCAGTCGTTCCAAACATTAACTCAAGATAAGGTCTATTTTTCAAAATAAAAGCCCCACAAAGTCAGTGTATCCAAATATTAACTCAAGATTATGCCTGTTTTTCAAAATAAAAGCCCCACAAAGTCAATGTATGCAAACATGAACTCAATTATGCCTATTTTTCAAAAATATATATATTTTTTGCATGTGGTGCAGGAGAAAGTGAGAAAGAAGAGGATGAAGAGATGGAGGAGAGAGACCTAATGAGAGATAATGTCCACCTGCAGGCTGGATGTCATGCTCATCTGGTTTTACATGTGTTCTCTCCTCTGATGAGCAGACAGTATATCCCTCCATGTCTCCTCCACATGGGGCTTCTGATCCACAGCAGGGGGTCTGAGGAGCCAATCAAAAGAGAGGAGTGGGGGAGAGAGCCAGGAGATGAATAGCAACATGTCAACAAACAAGAGGAGAAAAAACAATATCAAGATCAGAGGACAGTGAAGTGGTGAAGAGATGAAGGGGAGAGGAAATTACTAAGATATTCAAGGAGAAGAGGACTTGAGTAAAATTAGATATGAAGAGGTAAACAAAGGATGGGGAAAACAGAGAGGAAAGGGAGAGGAGAGAGAGAGGGAAACAGAGAGGGAAACAGAGAGGAAAAGAGAAGGCAGTAAATACAATTAAGGTGGAGGGAAGGAAAACATTGAGTACACTCAAGAGAGAATGAAAAAAAAATGTGGAAAAGAAGCAAGGAGGTCAAATAAGAGGGATAAGAAAAGAGAACATGGAGGAAGAGACAAGAGGTATAGGAAAAGGGAAGATGGGAAATAAGGATGTGGAGAAATGGAGGAAAGAACATTTTGAAGAAGAGTAAATAACGAAGAGGAGAATAAGACAGGAGTGGAAAAAGAAGACTGGATAAGGAACATTTTAAATAAGGATAAACAATAAGAAAATACAAATCTAGACTAAATGAAATGAAACACACAAAGACCTTGTAAATACTTTTGAAAACTACATTTTCATAGATGCCAATTCTAAAATTAAAATAAATCTCTCTAAATAGGTTGCTGTATAAACTGTTACTAGTTTGAGTCATAACAAACATCATATTGTTATACTTTTTTAATGCTAAAGTCTTATTTTTCCCCATTGAATTGAAATGCAGAATATGTGCACGTGAGACACCAATACTACTGCTTCTCTCCACTGTAACGGCTGTATACAATGAACTACATTTCCCAGGGTGCATTGCGGGTGAGAGGTTATCAGCACTTGTGTAGCTACTTCCTAGCAACTGCACATCTCTTTCCCCAAAAAAGAAGGACTTTGCACTCAAAATTGTGCAATTTTCGTGATCTTTCACACATATATGAGGGCTGGTGGTCCCCGGTGCTCATGAGCGACGTGGCCGCTGTGCAGGACGGTAATCCCGGGGAAAACAAGTACCCTGTGCCGCTGGATTGCTGCGGAGGACTGAACAACGTGGATTACTCCAAGGTAAAACTAAAGACTGTTGAATAATAAGCAGGTTGTGATGGTTTAATTAACATGCATCAGGTTAACCTCTAAAACGAGCAGCGATAGTCTCTGTTTGACCGACTGAACTGAATCCGTGACAGCAGGAAACAGGCGGTACAGCCGGATCTTTCAAAATAAAAGCAAACTCAAAGGAAACTAATATGGAATTTACTGTATGGGAACATTTCACATTCATAACAAGAAATGGGCTGACTCCAAACCACATTGAGCAGACTTTTACATAGAATTAAAGCAAAAATGGTACCACAATTAAAATCATTAGGAATAAGACAACCAAAACGAAAAATTCTATTTAAAATCTTTCCTTTTTAAAAAAATCTTTCTTCTTCTTTTTTAGTAAGTTTAAAAAAAAAGAAATCTAATGTTGACTACAAGTAATACAATCACACAGACTATGAATACGTAAAACTTCGATTAAACCTCATATCAAAGCAACATTTTGCATCAAATTAAATAAAAACAACACAAATTATATTTCTAAACTCTTATTTTGAATTTAATGTTGAAACCTCAGAGCCCTCATTAAACTGGACAGGTTGACCCTGACCTGAGACCTGTGTCAGCCTGTATCTCTGAGAATAGATGAGGAAAAACTGATCTGAGACCAGTATGATTTTATACTGAACAACCGAAGCAGCTGGAGTAATTGTCGGGTACATTTTCAGTAATATCACTGAAATTAAATGGCTTTAAATGGATTGGATCAGATGTTTTGAAGAGGGTTTGTGTCAGGTACTTATCCATAATCAGTGTATTACCTCCAGTAGATGAGGATTGGTGGCCCTATATATATAAAGTTTAATGAAAGCAATGGACTACTGTGGACAATGGAAGCAGCAAAACATATTTTAACACCTTAACAAAATAAAAATCAGTTTAAATGCACGCTATATTTAGAATATTATAAGCGAATTACCTTGACGTCAGACAAACTGATGTTTCCGACTGGCATCCTTGAAGAACAAATGAATTTGATCTCACAGAACAGACACATTTTTCAAGATATTACTGGGGTTTTTTCAATGGAGGAAAGAAAGCATAGATAATGTTCCCCAACAGTAAGGCCTGTATAGTGGCATGGTAAAGCAGTGACTATATTCTAAATATAACGTGCATTTAAACTGATATTTATGGTTTTAGGTGGCCAAAATATGTTTTGCTGCTACCTCTCCACAACTGTACAGATTATAGTTTCTGTGTTGGTACTCCTGTCTATACACTGACTGAGGATACAACACGTATAACTTTATACATAAATACATATAAGTTATTAATAATACTTTAAGAAATATGAACTATCCCTAAATGAGAGAGAGCAAGATAATTGTGTCAGAGATAGAGACAGCCTGTATGTCTAGATACATGTACACCAAGATGACTTCTACCTATGTTGCTGTTACACTAATCATTTTAATACAATGGACTCCTTTTTTGAAAATGTGCCCTTTTAAAACTGTATGAAATTGCTATATGTTCCTTGTTGCACCAACACTATGATAAAAAACATAATTCAGGCCCTTGACCTCTAACGGCCCGTCCACACGGCAGCGTTGCGTGCTTCAACGGAGCCGCTTCCCATTCACTTTGAATGGGGTGACGTCACGCTTTGCCGAACTGCATTGTGGTTCCGTCGCGTCGCTTTGCCTCCGTTGCTCGCTTCGAAAGTTGAGAAAAGTTCAACTTTTCAAGCGTCGAAGGAAGTGCCAGCCAATCAAATCATATGCCAGTACAAGCTCTAGCCCAGGGGTGTCAAACTCAAGGCCCTGGGGCCAAATCCGGCCCGCAACTTCATTTTATGTGGCCCCACAAGAGCTTGCAAAGAATATAATACGTTTATTATACGGTTACATGCCACTTTACAGAAGCAGGTTGCCCATAAACTACATGTCCCACAATGCATCTCGTTTTGAGACATGCGCACTGAAGAGACTTGCAATTATTTGCCCTGGACTTCTGCTTTCAAACGTAGTTAGTTATTACCCTATCCGATAATAATCCAATTCAGAGGCAATAATGTAATATAATACATTATTTTATATATATATTATATATTTATATATGTATATTTATATAGTTACAACCGGCCCTTTGAGTGCAACCATAATGCTAATGTGGCCCGCGATGAAATTGAGTTTGACACCCCTGCTCTAGCCAATCAAACCGCGTGCTTGTGTGTCTGGGGCGGGAGATTAATGTGATTGGTTGTTGGTCGCACGCCAGACACGCCCACGCTGCCGTGTGGACGTCCCTTAAGACATACGTTGATGCTCTTATTCTCTTGCATCACCAGGCAAAAGCACTCCAGTGTGACAGAAGAGAAATGGTCCACATCACAGTCATTAAAATACAATTATAGGCCAATTTGCAATGGTCCAATTTCAGAAAGTAGGTAAAGAAACAGGTCAAGTAGAGATAATTGTATTTTACTTCCAGCTTTTAAAGTTGAAATACATGGTTATCCATCCTTTGAGATTTAAATGGCACTCTCTTTAAGTACTTGGCATCTTTTTTAGCAATGGTTTTAGTTGAACTCCACTGGAGAATTTGTGCAACCAAGTGTTTATCTTGATGCGTACAACAGCTTTTATTCTTTTGTCAGAATCGGATGGAAAACACACATTAGTTTGCATTATCTTTAGGAGATTTAAAAAGCATCCAAACATAATTGAGGCCATTGACCTATAAGACATACGTTGATGCTTTTACTCTCTTGCGTAACAAGGCAAAAGCACACTGTGTGACAGAAGCAAAATGCCTCTATGCTGCTCCACATCATATCAGTCATTAAATACAATTATTGGCCAATTTGCAATGGTCCAATTTCGAAAAAGTAGGTCATCTGTTTGTCCAATTTGCTCACAATGAGAACATTGTATGAAAGTCCATTACTGTGTAATGAAAACATATAAGTTATTAATACTACTTTAAGAAATATGAACTATCCCTAAATGAGAGAGAGCAAGATAATTGTGTCAGAGATAGAGACAGCCTGTATGTCTAGATACATGTACACCAAGATGACTTCTACCTATGTTGCTGTTACACTAATCATTTTAATACAATGGTCTCCTTTTTTTGAAAATGTGCCCTTTTAAAACTGTATGAAATTGCTATATGTTCCTTGTTGCACCAACACTATGATAAAAAACATAATTCAGGCCCTTGACCTATAACGGCCCGTCCACACGGCAGCGTCGCGTGCTTCAACGGAGACGCTTCCCATTCACTTTGAATGGGGTGACGTCACGCTTTGCCGAACTGCATTGTGGTTCCGTCGCGTCGCTTTGCCTCCGTTGCTCGCTTCGAAAGTTGAGAAAAGTTCAACTTTTCAAGCGTCGACGGAAGTGCCAGCCAATCAAATCATATGCCAGTACAAGCTCTAGCCCAGGGGTGTCAAACTCAAGGCCCGGGGGCCAAATCCGGCCCGCAACTTCATTTTATGTGGCCCGCAAGAGCTTGCAAAGAATATAATACGTTTATTATACGGTTACATGCCAGTTTACAGAAGCAGGTTGCCCATAAACTACATGTCCCACAATGCATCTCGTTTTGAGACATGCGCACTGAAGAGACTTGCAATTATTTGCCCTGGACTTCTGCTTTCAAACGTAGTTAGTTACTAAGTTATTACCCTATCCGATAATAATCCAATTCAGAGGCAATAATGTAATATAATACATTATTTTATATATATATTATATATTTATATATGTATATTTATATAGTTACAACCGGCCCTTTGAGTGCAACCATATTGCTAATGTGGCCCGCGATGAAATTGAGTTTGACACCCCTGCTCTAGCCAATCAAACCGCGTGCTTGTGTGTCTGGGGCGGGAGATTAATGTGATTGGTTGTTGGTCGCACGCCAGACACGCCCACGCTGCCGTGTGGACGTACCGTAAGACATACGTTGATGCTCTTACTCTCTTGCATCACCAGGCAAAAGCACTCCAGTGTGACAGAAGAGAAATGGTCCACATCACAGTCATTAAAATACAATTATAGGCCAATTTGCAATGGTCCAATTTCAGAAAGTAGGTAAAGAAACAGGCCAAGTAGAGATAATTGTATTTTACTTCCAGCTTTTAAAGTTGAAATACATGGTTATCCATCCTTTGAGATTTAAATGGCACTCTCTTTAAGTACTTGGCATCTTTTTTAGCAATGGTTTTAGTTGAACTCCACTGGAGAATTTGTGCAACCAAGTGTTTATCTTGATGCGTACAACAGCTTTTATTCTTTTGTCAGAATCGGATGGAAAACACACATTAGTTTGCATTATCTTTAGGAGATTTAAAAAGCATCCAAACATAATTGAGGCCATTGACCTATAAGACAAGGCAAAAGCACACTGTGTGACAGAAGCAAAATGCCTCTATGCTGCTCCACATCATATCAGTCATTAAATACAATTATTGGCCAATTTGCAATGGTCCAATTTCAAAAAAGTAGGTCATCTGTTTGTCCAATTTGCTCACGATGAGAACATTGTATGAAAGTCCATTACTGTGTACACAACACAACACAGAAGTGAAGAAACGGACAAGAACAGGTTGGTCCAAGTAGAGCTCTTTTTATTTTACTTCCAGCTTTTAAAGTTGAAATATAACTTTAACAATAAAAAAGGATCTTACAGGCTAAGAAAATAAATCTTTAAAGTGCTTTATCTTGTTCTTGGCATCTTTTTTGGCAATGGTTTTAATTGTACCCCGCTGGATCTTGATGCGTACAACAGCTTTTATTCTCATATCAGAATTGGCTGGAAAACAAACATTAGTTTGCATTATCTTAACAAGTAACATGTAATGTAATCTTTTCTAGTTAGAGCGGAGCACGACTCCTGACTTTTCCGTGTGTTTTATTTTTATTTTGTTTTTAAGATATATCTGTTGTAATTTATTGTCGTTTATTGTGATTTGTAGTAATATGTTTTTATTACATGTACAGCACTTTGGCTCGACCAAAAATCGCTTTTAAATGTGCTATATAAATAAAACCTGATTTGATTTGATTTGATTTAGGAGATTTTCTAAAAAGTTGTTAAATATTGCACTAAATTTGAATGGAAAACTTGTATAGTATTTCCATTGCCATACAGAACTCCTAAGATATTTAAAAATATGTTATAACCAGCGATGGATGAGAAAAAACATCTTTCTTTCAATGAAAATGTGTTTTTGTGTATGGCTGTGTCTCTCAGATGGACGTGACCCTGATGAAAGAAGTCCTGAAATACATCAACTTTCAAGACTCCAGCTTTTGCATCGCGGTGATCGCCATCATCTTTAACCCATTATTCTGGAATGTGGTAAGAAATACTCTACATGTTAAAGCTTATATACTTAATCTTGTGCAGGCTGGGTAATCTAACAAACACTTGTAAAACCGAGTCGTGAAAATCATGACCATTAGCCGAACTATTGCCTGAAGTCTTACATTTTCCAGAAACTATAATCCTGATTTGATTTTGATTGGATACGAACCATTTCTCTACAGCATAGTTATAATGGTTTGAATTGTGCAGGCAGCCATGTGTGTCTTTACCCTTTTCCACCCAAGTCTGGTGCTTGTAATTCGCTTAAAATGTAGTTTTTTGCTGCCACTTACAACATGAAATCCCTACTGTTGTTCCTGGTGGTGAATAATCCTTATACACTGATCATAACACGCTAAGGAGAGACTTAATGTATGTGTTCATGAACTCATATAATGAATTATCTGAGGTGGTGCTTTTGACTTAGCCAAGTGAGAACAATTCATGCATTGGTGGAAATCTGGTGAGGGATCATGTCCTTATTTCTGCACATCGAACTCCTTCTTCTTGAGTTTTGTGACCCTCCTGAAGCCCTATTAGTATATAACCTGCAACAGAAATGACTTTTTACATTTTATACCTCTGGAAAACCTACGTGCTCCTCCTAAGCCCTACTGTTGGGTGCATAAAATACACAAAAACACCATCAAAAAGGGTCAAATCCCTTTTTACTACAAGAAAATTATCTAACAAATTGCTTAGAAAATGGGATTCATAGTGAGTCAAGTCGTAGCTTTCTATCTGTCCATTCAATTACAGTTGATCCGTCTTCATCACATCAAGACAAACTGTCCTAAAAGTGTCCCTGAGACTGATACAACTTTTAGAGAAGTTTTTACTTGCCGGACAAGATAGTTGTATATCAGTACAGTATATCATATATTGAATGTGTAGCATCAGGATAAGGCAGACTCATATGTCATAGACTAGATATCTCTATGACTAAGTATTGCATCTTATCAGGCCGGAAACAACGTTGCTTTTCTGGGTGTACTGACGTCAAAGTGAATCCTGAAGAATCCTCTTTCCGAACGCCTTGAAAGACAATGCTTTATTATTATTTTCAAAAGATGCTTAAGATGTAGAAGTGCTATAGAGACTTGAGTCATACATCACATCACATCTTCATCAGTGATGGTGGTGAATCATGCAGTCAACAATCATTGACAAGCTTTATTATACTGCAATTAAAGTATTTTAGTAGAAAAGAAAACTCTCTCTACGTGTGCTGCCCGCCAACGCTGTTAATGTGGCATTTTGCTGTCAAAGTGCTCCATTAATTATAATGTAGTTGCTCATAACTAAGAATGTAGGAATTTTAAATGCTTAATGTGGAAAAATGACAAATTGCACAAGAGATTAAGCTTTTACTGCAATAGTTCCTTTCACTTAGTTATGGCATTATCTACTGCTTATTTGAATACTCTGTTCTGATTGGTCCATTTGGATGTTCCAGAGGTTGTTAATTATTGCTAATAGACCGTTGCTAAGGAGAACCGACCGTTGCTAAGGGGAATTAAGTGCAGTCATATCAATCCACAGAGAGAAATCCGATCAATTTAACGTCAGATGTGGACAAACAAACATTATATCTCTCCATCAGAAAACAGAGTGGAAGACAGGAAGTAAACACTAAAGGGAACAGCAGAAGAAGACAGACAGGAAGTAAACACTAAAGAGAACAGCAGAAGAAGAAGACAGGAAGTAAACATTAAAGAGAACAGCAGAAGAAGACAGACAGTAAGGCCCAATCCCAAACCGCCCCCTACACCCTACCCCTACACACTACCCCTCCGTTTGCGCGTTCGCGCGGAGGGTCCGCCACATTAAGTGCTGTTCCAAACCAACGAGTGTGGAGCGGGGTGGAGGGGGAGTGGGTTATCAAGCCCTCAAACAGCGAGTCTGCATCGGTGCTGACTTGAGACCGGTCTCTACCTGACCGGAGTCACGCTGTGTGTGTCCGTCAGGAAACACGCTGTTAAAAAGTAGTTCCAGCAAACATCCACTGATAAACTGCGATGTTAACAACCTCATGATAACCTCATATTTTTTTAACTTAGGCTCATACCTGTGTTTAGTCTAGAAAAAGGTAAATGTGTGCATTTTATTATAAAGTTGTGTATATTTACAGACTGTTGCAAAAACTAAGAAGCTTATAAACATCAGGTTTAAAACTAAAAGAGCTTTACAAAAAAGTAACACAATGAAAGATGTTTGGAGTTTTATTTGAGTTATTAATTTACATTTTTTGTCTAAGAGAAGCTGATTTGAAACCGTTGTTACATACAGTCACTGCATTTCCTGTTTCTGCCGGAGAGAGGGGAGTTTGTCCCAAAGCTTGCTGCTGTATTTACTCCCTCCATCTGACAGGAGGGAGCCTCATTCAGCTGCGAGTGTGGCTACAGACGGAGTTCACTCCGCCACGGAGGGGTAGGGTCGAGGGAGTGGTTTGGGATTGGGCCGAAGTAAACATTAAAGGAAACAGCAGAAGAAGACAGACAGGAAGTAAACACTAAAGGGAACAGCAGAAGAAGACAGACAGGAAGTAAACACTAAAGTGAACACGATGGACAGTAACAAAAAACCTTGATCAGTGCGACCGTCATTTAAAAATGGTTTTAAGCCATATGATCATTTTTAAATAAAATGCCTCACTGCACATTAACCCATAATTATCTCCAGATTTGATAAAGTTGCTATGCTATAGGGTCATTTTTGTAAAGGTTGGTGTATTTTACTGCAATTAGTAACACTACGTAAACAGTTGCATATGTTTCATTCCAAGTTTGTAATTTTCTTACCCTGAGCGGTGACTCATCACACGCTCGGCACACTTCTTACAGTAGCTGTCCCTTACAAAGAAAAGCAGATAACGTGCACATGATAACAAATCAGCCTTTTTGTGTATTTTGCTGGAAGATAATCTGTAAGTGGCTGTAATGGGGCTCCTTCAGGCAAACATCATTAGGACTTATTGAACCAAAAGATAAAAGGTATTTTCTTTTTATCTGTTCGAGCGTCAATGGTTGTTTTTTTTAGGCCACAATCTCTAAAAGGGTAAAGAAAGAAACACAAATAATCAATATTTGTCATCACGTCTGTCACATGTGACAGCTTTGAAACCTGATAGATAGATAGATAGATGGATGGATAGATAGATAGATAGATAGATAGATAGATAGATAGATAGATAGATAGATAGATGGATGGATAGATAGATAGATAGATAGGTAGGTAGGTAGGTAGGTAGGTAGAGAGATATATAGATAGATAGATAGGTAGGTAGGTAGGTAGGTAGGTAGGTAGGGTAGGTCGCTAGCTCCGCTGCGGTCGGTCGGTCGGTCGCTCGCTCGCTCGCTCGGTCGGTCGCATCGCTCGCTCGGTCGGTCGGCGGTCGCTCGCTCGATCGCTCGCTCGCTCGGTCGGTCGCATCGCTCGCTCGCTCGGTCGCTCGCTCGCTCGCTCGGTCGGTCGCGCTCGCTCGCCTCGCTCGGTCGCTCTCTTCGGTCGGTCGGTCGCTCGCTCGCTCGGTCGGTCGGTCGGTCGGTCGGTCGCTCGCTCGCTCGGTCGGTCGCTCGCTCGCTCGGTCGGTCGGTCGGTCGGTCGGTCGGTCGCTCGCTCGCTCGGTCGGTCGCTCGCTCGCTCGCTAGCTCGGTCGGTCGCTCGGTCGGTCGCTCGGTCGGTCGGTCGCTCGCTCGGTCGGTCGGTCGGTCGGTCGCTCGGTCGGTCGGTCGGTCGGTCGCTACGCTCGGTCGGTCGGTCGGTCGCTCTGTCGTCGGTCAGGTCGCTCGCTCGAGGTCGGTCGTCGCTCGGTCGGATCGGTCTCTCGCTCGGTCGGTCGCTCGCTCGGTCGGTCGGTCGCTCGGTCGGTCGGTCGGTCGCTCGCTCGGTTCGGTCGCTCGCTCGCTCGGTCGGTCGGGTCGCTCGCTCGCTCGCTCGGTCCGCTCGCTCGCTCGGTCGGGTCGGTCGGTCGCTCGCTCGCTCGCTCGCTCGGTCGTCGGCTAGGTCGCTCTCTCGTCTCGGGTCGGTCAGTGGTCGGTCGGGGTCTGTCGGTCGTCGGTCGGTCGGTCGGTCGCTCGCTCGCTCGGTCGGTCGGTCGGTCGGTCGCTCGCTCTCTCGGTCGGTCGGTCGCTCGCTCGGTCGTCGGTCGGTCGGTCGGTCGGTCGGTCGGTCGGTCGGTCGCTCGCTCGCTCGCTCGTCGGTCGGTCGCTCGCTCGGTCGGTCGGTCGGTCGCTCTCGGTCGGTCGGTCGGTCGGTCGGTCGGTCGGTCGCTCGCTCGCTCGCTCGCTCGCGCGCTCTCTCGCTCGCTCGCTCGGTCGGTCGGTCGGTCCTCGCTCACTCGCTCGCTCGCTCGCTCGCTCGCCCGCTTCTCCGTACTTTATTGATCCCAATTTGGAAAATGTTTGCATTGCAGCAGCATAAAAAACACAAGGCAATGTACATAAGAGAAACTAAGACACAGAAATAAACAGTCCAAAATATTTCAGAATTAGAAATAGAAATGAAATAGCATTAAAAAGTTAAAAGATTAAAAATAAAAATATATATACATGTGGAAATAGATAGTAAGAAGAAATATATTTAATGTGGCTTCTAGCTTGCACCTTTGTGTCTGCACACACGATTTAAGGCACGAGTGCATTGAAGGCAATTACGTTTTGATGAAAGGTAATAGTGAAGCACGTTCCTCACCATTATTTGTGACACTGTCGCCTTGTTTGATGGTAAACCATGTGCCATGCTGCTGACAGCGCTGAAGGGTTAACTTGTTCGTGTTCGGAAAGGCTGGAATGTTCTTTCTCGCATAAAACAATCACGTCGCCTAAGGGCTGTCATTTCATAGTTTTTTTTGGGGGGCTTTCCAGCTAATTTAAATCCAATTCTTCTTTTCCTTTTTGCTCTGTTTTGGTCGTCATCCAACTATGTTCATGTTATGTTTAAGATTCTCTTTTTCACTTGAGTGATTGTCTTTCCACACCTTTATGTATGAGCAT